ATATATATATATATATATATGAAAGCAGTGCCTTGCAACACACAAGTGCTACATGAAGATATATATACCAAAGTAAAGCTCATTCAGTATTGCAATTCTGAAATTAAAAGAATAATTCATACGACATCAAAATATTAAAGCAATGCCTTGCAACACACATTATGATACAAAATGCTTTTTGGGAGGCTGGGTCGTATTTGGGTCAGATTTCACCTACATCAACAGGCCACACAATTTTTGCCCACTAGAATAAAGGCAAAGTTCACATCAAGCGCTACATGAAGAGCAAGTAGGTTGACAAGAGAAAAGTAGAATGGTAGAGATGGAAGTGGCAAGAGAAAGCATGTGTTAGTGAAAGATGATGAGATCAAGAAGAAATAGGTAAAGTGAGCAACAGAGAATCATCGGACAGACGCGCATCAACTGAAGGAAATGGCAACCACTATCTGTGTGTATTAGTGAGGGAAAATAGAGGCCCTTAAGGTGCTTTTGATGAGAAAAAGGGTACGGATTAGAGAATGAGGAAGAGTGCAAAAGCATGCGATCGTGGAGACAATACACTCTGGCGTTGATAGTGTCATAGCTGCATGGGGTCCTGTGTAATTTTTTTTTCTTTTTTAATGATGTAAATAATTAGCATACTTAAATCGTGTCAATTGAAGAATCAAAGGAATCTATAAACCCCACCATCATATCATTTATGAATCAACTAAGCAAGCAATATAGTAACAACAAAAAATCATGCTTCTTCCATTAGAGTATACCTGTCAAGTGCCATGTTCCGTGTTTTTCCAGATCCCAAGCAGAGCACAACAAGCCATTTATCAACAAAATTTCTGTCACCCTGAGTTATATGAACATCTAATACATGCATCTTAGTGGTATCAGGTGAAGTGCTAAATATTCTTGATAGCTGAAACTTTTTCCATCGCTTTTCTGAAAAGGGATTTCTTAGAATAGATGTTGACGGGTCAATGGAAACAGAATAATCTAACAATGGATGTAAATTTCCCTCCTCCCATGTCAATAAAGATACCTGAAATGAAAATTTTTGTTAGTTAAGAATACCTAAAATAAAAAGCACTGCCACAATTATCCCCTAGGCATGGTATAAAAACGAATACAAGAAGCATATAACACATTTCAATAAATGAACACGAGTTACCTCACAAAACAATCATCTAATTATAAAGCAATGGAAATATAGAATTACCAATATAGAGAAGAAGAGCATCTCTGAAAAAAAGCATCTTATATTTATTCAACAACTTAGCACCAGCAATGATAATAGTTCAGACTACAGAGAGTTGCAACTGTACAGAAAAATGATATATAGTACTGATAAAGCGGGAGTTACAGGTGTACCAGGCATCCTAAAATGACTGGTTTAGGCAGGTTTTATTGTATGTATCTTTACGGACAAAGATCTCGTTTCAGAGATTTGAAACATGATCTACTGCCCACATTGGCAGAAAGCTAACAATTGTTTAAAACCTTCCAAGCCAATCTCTCACTATAAAACAACAACAACAGCAAACCATTATCCCACTATGTGGGGTCGGTTACATGAATCAAATCTCTCACAACAGAAACATCTAATTTACAATTAAATACGTTAACTAAGAAGTGACAAAATGCATCTCTAATAGCTATTTGTATTAAAAGAGTGGGGTTATAGCATTTAGAAGATATAGAAATCAGCCTTTCAAACTTAGTAGAAGAGGTCGTGACATTTCCAAGTGGGAGCTTGGAGAGTGAATGTAGGTTTCTTTAGCAGTAGAATTACTACAAATTGTTATACTCTTGTTTGCTATATTCGATAATTGTTATATTCTTATTACTCTCAGCTTCAAGCATGCAACGCCCAAATTTCGAGGAACCAGGAAAAGTTAGACAAATTCTAAAAGTGCATTCAAATTTTATCTCCCGAAGTTTGATCGAAATAATTTTATAAAATTATACGCTTGAAATCGAACCATTCGATATAAACACAATATGTTAATTATGAACAAATTAAGAGATATAAAATGTAGAAGTTTTAAGTTTTATTAACTTAATAAATCCTTATTTAATCCCTAATTCCTCGCTTAAGCCCGCCTGCCGCCTCTCACGCCTATTAACCATAGTTTTAGGTCAATTAGCGCAGGCGAGCTTCAATATACTCCCCTTTCTCCTAATTCTTCTCTCTTGCAATTTCTCCCTCTCCTTCACGGCTGCTGCGGCACGGCAAGCAATCAGCGAAACTTACTATAGTGTCAAGGCGCGAGCAGTGGGTCGAGCGGCGCACAGGGTGGCTAAACTTGCTGTAGGGAGCTTCGAGGACGAAATTAAATGACAAGAATTCCTCTTTCTCGTCCTTCTAAGCTTTCATTCCATTCCTCACCCATCCATTTTGACATTTGTCTTGTTTTTGGTGCAAATATTTTTTTCGATGCTCGTCAGAGGCGCCGATTGTGTGCGAAAGTGTTGAAAGTCCTTTGCGAGCTGTCGTAAAGGTTCTAGCACGAATTCAACATAGGGCAGGTGTGGTTTGAGATGATGGAAAAAAACTTAGGCGGTTCAAGCAAACCAGTTATGCCGAAAAGCTCTTTTGAGGTATGTTTTGACATCTAATGCATGTTTTGGTTAATGCATGTTATGAACCAAATTTTAAGGAGCCTTATGCTGTACAAGAGCCTCAGGTTGCCTATACGAGGTGGTGAGCTCGGGATGAGCTTGTGGGCACTCGTAGTAGGGCTGCTTCGTCAAGTCAGGTGAAATAATCTTGTGTTAATTTAAGAAAAATAATCTTCTATATATTTTCATATGATTTTTAATTTGTCACAGATGCATTTAAAATTTCCCGCATATTGTAAATGGATACATGCAGTTGAATGTTTGAATGCATGTTTACTTCTCTTACGATACATATGACGCAATACATATGATGCTATGTTATGGTATGATACGAGGGACTAAGCTTATGATATTAATTGCATGTAGGTATTCATTTATTATGCTTCATGCTTACGATGCATGTAAAGTCTTATGCTTGATACCGTAATGATGATTTAAATGCCACAAGAATTGTTAGGGGGTAGATTATTATATAAGTGCTTGCAAGTACATTATAGATGGATGTAGTATTCCTGACTCCTAATATTTTTATGGGTACGAAACTCTGGGAACTGTTGGAATTAGATGGTGACAAAACGTTAGGAAACTATGGGTATCAGAGGGACTATCGATAACTGCAGTGTTGAGAGAAACCAACGTTTATCGATATTTTATATGATCTTTGGGCAAGGTGATGACCAATGATGAAATAACATGAAAATAATATAACCTTATACATTAAACAAGTGACATTATTATGATATGACCTTTATGAAATGATTGAACATGCTTTTATACATATGATTTCCTACATACGATCTGCATGTTACACTACAACTAATTTTTACACTACCTATACCTGCAGTGGGGTAAAACTACCGCTTCAATCCATTTAGAAACATAATCCATAACTACAAAAATATACAACTTTCTAGAAGATGGTATAAATGGTCCTATAAAATCTAAACCCTATACATCAAAACTCTACCCCTATAGAGTAAAATTTAAGAGCATTTCATTACTTGTAAATATGTTGTCTACCCTCTCACATCTATCACAAGTTTTTACAGATATATTTACATCCTTAAAAAGAGTATGCCAATAAAATCCTGATTGTAGAATTTTAAATGTTGTTATATCTACTCCAAAATGTCCCCCAAGATCAGAATCATGACATTTTTACAATAAGTACACATATCTGAATAATTTGATCTTTACATTTTTTATATAAACGAGTCATTAAAAAAAGTCTTTGCATCATAAATAAACTTTTTTCGTTGTTGGTATATTAATCCATATGATATAAAATCACTCACTACAAAATTAACTATATTAACATACCTCGGAACACGTCACTCAGTAACATTGCATGATTGCTCATCAAAAAAAATATTCATTTATTTTAGTTTCAAAATTACAAAAATTCTCCTGTTCTAGCCTTAACAGATGATCAATTATCTGATTATTAGATCCATTCCTATCAACTACTTTAAAGTTAAATTCTTGTATCAGAATGACCCATCTAATAAGTCTTGGTTTAGTATCCTTCTTATGCTTAGAGTATATGATCGCAGAATGATCAATATGCACAATACATTTGGTCCCAATAAGATAAAATCTAAATTTATTAAAGACATATACTATCCCTAATAACTCATTCTCAGTAGTAGAATAATTAACTTGAGCTTCATTAAAAATTTTATTAGCTAATATATGATTTTAAAAATCTTATTATATTTTTATCCTAATACTGCCCCAATCGTATAATCAGTCGCATCACACATCAACTTAAAAAATCTCCCCTAATTGGGTGAAACTATAATAGAAGCGATGATTAATTTTTCTATTAATAAATCGAACACATCCCGACATTCCTGGTTAAAATCAAATAGTGCATCTTTTTCTAAAAGATGGAACAGAAGCTTGGTGATTTTTGAGAATTCTTTAATATATCGTCTGCAAAAACCAGCATGTCCTAGAAAACTCCTAACTCCTTTCACTGTATTAAAAGAAGGTAGTTTAGTAATAACTTATATTTTTGTTGGATCTACTTTTATGTCATTTTTTGATATATTGTGCCCAAACACAATTCCACCCGCGACCATGAATTGACATTTTGCCCAGTTAAGAACTAAGTTAGTCTCTTCACATTGTTTTAGAACCTTAGCTAAATAGTCTAAGCATGACCAAATGAGGTTTCAAATATTGAGAAATCGTCCATAAAAACTTAAATTCTTTTTTCAATTGAATCGCAGAAAATGGACATCATGCACCTTTGAAAAGTAGCATGTATGTTACATAAACTGACGGACATCCTTCTAAAAGCAAAAGTCCCGTAAGGATTCGTGAATATAATCTTTTCCGGATTCTCAGGAGCCATTGGTATTTGATGGTATCTTGAATATCTATCCAGAAAATAAAACTATCGGTGACCAGCTAATTTATCTAATATCTGGTTTAGAGAATGTAATGATAAATGATCTTTTCTGGTGGCTAAATTCAATTTTCTATAGTCAATAAAAATTTGTCACCCAGTGACTTGTTTAGTAGGAATTAATTCATTTTTTTCATTAGCAGCTACAATCGCTCCCCCTTCTTAAGGACGCAGTGGATCATACTAACCTATGCACTGTCAGAAATTGGATAAATAATACCAGCATCTAACCACTTTAATATTTCTTTCTTTACTACCTCTTTTATAATAGAATTCAATCTCTTTTGAGAATCTGCCCTAAGTTTATGGTTATCTTCCATTAAAATATTGTGCATACATATTGAAGGGATTATTCCATTGATAACAACTAATGTCTATCTAAAGACTTTCTTGTAATGCCTTAATATTTTTATTAAGTTTTCTTCTTGAGACTCAGTTAAGTTCGAGGATATTATAAAAGGTAATATTGATGAGTTCCCTACATAAGCATACTTTAAATGCGTTGGGGGTACCTTCATCTCTAGTTTAAGAGTTTCTTCAATAGAAGGAATGAGAGGTTTGCTAGCATCTAAAAGCTCAAATATTTCCTGGACATAGTTTGAATCCTCATTGATCATCTCAATAGGTTTTTCTTGGAAATCAGTATCATTTTCATATTCCAATTTTTGTTGTCTTGTTTTAACTTCACAACTTTCTCTGAATTAGTTATTATTTAAATAATCAATAATCTTCATTCTATAACACTCATCTTCTCTTCCCTTAGCTAGATACTTCATTGACTTTAATACATTGAAAGTGACTTCCCAGGCATTAACTCTCATGGTTAACTACCCTTTTTGTACATCTATCATAGTTCGTCCAGCAACAAAAAAATGTCTCCCTAAAATAATAGGTTTTTCTTTATCTTCCTCCATATCTAAAACAATGAAATTCAAATGGAAGATAAATTTATACACCATAACCAGTACGTCATCTATAACCCCTTTTGGATACGTGATCGAACGATC